AATTTTGATTTAGCATGTGTTTTTGGAGAGAATACATACTATCAAATTTAGTTTTTATGATAGAACAATGCTTATTTGGTTTATGTTTAAGATTGAACAGAATCGTCGATTATCATCAATACGATATCTATTAGAAGGTCTCGAAGCATTTTTATTTCATTTTCGAGTTGATATTTGATCATTTGGTATTGTTGTTTGGGAAGCTACATCGTATGATCAAACATTTTATAAACCAGTAAGATAAATTTATTAGTTCAAAAGTTAATTTTGTTTTTTGATAATGATTTGGAGCTTAAAGTCATGGAAAATATGACATTTGATTCTATATCACGAAAATGACTGAAATTTTTATCCAGTGACAATCGTTTAAAACAGCCTTGGAATTATCTAAAAGCTATATATAATATAATGCTCAAAATATTGAGAATATGAGTGAGGAATAATGATCTTCATTATTTTATTTTTATTATATTCTGTTTGTTAAGATATTTTCGTAGGGTAGACGTAAACCATCAACATTCACTTGGATAAAACAATATCTTAGTATATATGCTTTGTCTCAAAATCAATAAATAGAACAACATAATCGTTTCTAATACTAAAGAAACAAATGATTATTTAGAATCATTCGTAAAACAAAATAAGAAAAATTGGATAAAGTTAGACGATATAGGATTGCGTCGTTTTCTATAATAAATAACCCAGTGAAATTTTTTATTCTTCGCAAAATCTTTATAAAAGACAAAGAAGATTGAAATGTATATGTTCATAACGTAGTGTATTGAAACTCGATTATCAAGACAGTAATTAAAAAGTGAGAAAACGACATATTTTTCGTTGAACATTTCAAGTATTAGAAATATATGACTGTACTTTTCAGACAGAACGTTCATGTTTTGATTTGTAAAATAACAAACATTTTTCTACCTTATCAAGGTTGATGATAGTTTTATGTAGAAGAATACACATTAAAAAAGTAATTGAAGATGGTAAACCGAAAAAAAACTTTTAAATCAGAATGAAGTACAAATGTATTTATCGAATTCAAGAATACTGATTTTCTTTCACAATTTCCAGAATTTCTATCTTAATCATCTACTCGATTGACTTGTCAAAAAAAAATTAGTCCAATGCTTTGGTCTCTTATGATAGGTTGAATAAACGAAGTTGTTCAGTCGCGATGACGAGGCTACTTACATCACTAATGTCCATTGATCTTTAATTTTTGAACGATATAGCAACAAAAATTCATCAAAATCCCTTAGAAATTTACAATGATCACAGAATGTATTGAGTAGATGTGTTGTTGATAACACATGTCGATTCACAAACATCTCAACTATATTCACAATTTGAAAGGAGCATGCAACGTTCTCGACATTTTATGGAAGAAGGGAAAACTTAATCTATACCTTGGTTTGCGCTAATCAAAATACTACATAAATTGAGTCTAATTGCTTAAATCTATGGATGACTTCTTATTCATATATACCTATAATTTTCTGGTATTTACTCGAAACTCATTCCATCTTTTCTTCATAGTTGAGTAGTAGTACTAAATTACAGTTAAGAAAGTTGACAGCTCAAGAAATTTTCATGAATAAATTTACTAATGATTATGTCTGTTTTTATTTCAATTTGCAGAACTTTCAATTAGTTTTTATCCTATAACATTAAGTCTATAAGCTCAAATAAATAGAATTCGAAATAAAATCGGTTCGTATCTTGCCAGTAATAGTTTGACTAATACAATTTTTCCACTTGGTTTATTGTCCAAGTATTTGTTGAAGAATCAGATTATTAACAAATCATTTTCATAGTTATTTACCATCAGAAGAACAGGTAACTGATGATATAAAAGAAAATTCAGTTTCATCATTCAATAAACGACACAAATGAAATATTATTGCATATCACTAAATGAGTTGATACTGATTCTTTATGTAGGAATCAATCATTAGTGGCATGTTATTTTTTTTGAGAAACGTACAGCCTGCTATTTTTGAAGACAATGATATTTGTTTTAGTGTAAATACAATGTGTCATATATTTACTTTTTAACCGAACCTTTATAAAACTTAGTTTCTATATACATGCGCAAGTGAATAACAACTGTCTGGAGAATTAATTTCTATGAAAGGAGTATCGTCTCGAAGAACTTTCCTTGAAAAATATTCGTAGTCGAATCAATATAGTTAGAAGTTGTTTATGAGATTCCTAGTATCAATTGTTTGGTTTTTATTCTGATTGTATTAGCAAAAGTCCAATCATTGGTAAGACAAAACTTTTATCTGGCCAAAAATTCTAGATCAATAGAATAACATCTGAAAGAAAATCTTATAAATTCAATATGCATGGCTCAGATGTAATACAATTTAGAATGAATCACGTTGGAATATCCTATACATAAAGAGACGATTCACATGATGTAATGATATTTTCAAGTCGCAGGCAACGATGAATTTCTTCTTTTGCTGTGAATCCTTTTTAGGGCTCCTATCAATATTCATCTTTTCAATACATCAATTAATGTTCGATGAAAAAGTCAATTAAAATTGTCTCAAAACCTCAATTACAAATTTGATTTTTTATTTTCTTTTAATAAACTGAGAACAGGGATGAATGCTGCTAACTATTCTTGAATAAATGTACAGAATATTATCCTTCTTCGAATATAAACAATTTTATCACAAAAACAAACAAAACAGAAAAAACACTTATCAATGTATTCAACGTAGAAATTAACCGTTAAACAAATCCTATAAAAATCAAAATACTTAGGTCAGCCAACAAAAGTGTTGTTTGACCACATTCCTTCCTTGATTGTGCCATTAGCATACTTCATTTTGCCTCTACCATGTAATTTGCCATCTTTGAATTGTCCCTTTAACTGTTCTTTTATTGCGTAAAAAAATACTAACTGAAAATGAAGCGACTGAAAAAAGACTGACGAGGGATTTATGAATATCTCAACTCATAACGATTACCGTTAGCATAAACATAGACACCTTGACCTGCTCTTACGCCATCGACCCAATCGCCAGTGTACTTGTCGCCAGCCCATTTAGTATCTGGTCCCCAAACAAGTGTGCCTTTGCCATGTTCCTTGTTATATTTATATTGTCCCGGGAACTGTTCTTTTATAGCATAAATAGAATAGCAATTGAATGTGAAGCAAATAAGGACAGACTGACGAGTGATTGATGAATATCTCAACTCGTAATGACTACCACCAACATAAACATAGACACCTTGACCTGTTCTTACATCATCGACCCAATCGCCAGTGTACTTGTCGTCAGCATATTTAGTGTCTGGTCCCCAAACAAATGTACCTTTGCCATGTTTCTTGTTATCTTTATATTGTCCCTCGTAACGACTACCACTACCATCAACGTAGACACCTTGACCTGTTCTTACGCCATCGACCCAATCGCCAGTGTACTTGTCGCCAGCACATTTAGTATCTGATCCCCAAACAAATGTACCTTTGCCATGTTTTTTGTTATCTTTATATTGTCCCTCGTAATGACTACCACCAGCATAAACGTAGACACCTTGACCTGTTCTTACATCATCGACCCAATCGCCTGAGTACTTATCATTGTTCGCATAATTCATTGTTCCTTTGCCGTGCTTTTTTCCCTCTTTCAACTCTCCCTCATCATTATTCTATAATGATGTGTTGTTTGAGTATCTAGCAATGCAACAGCAGCTCAGTCTGTATAATATATGAATTGTTGTTTCATATCTGTTCCCTGATTTATCAGTAACAATTTGAATGTGTGAAGACTGGACATTTATCGACGTAGGAATGGATTCAGTTTTTGAGGAAGATGTGACTGCCATAGCATTGAAATGGGTTGTGAATTGGTCTTCGGTTTCATCAGTAACTTCTTGTAAATGAACTATATGCATGTATGGTTGATCAAGAGGATCACTGATAACACGAAGTCGAGTACCTGGACAAAGAATAACTTCACTTTCACTTGAGTAATTCGTATACCTTGAAATATCTTTTCCATTCACAGCTTCGATCAAGAATAATGTTGAGCTGGATCCTAGAAAATCTTTGATCATATTAACTGAAGTTGAACATGAACTAATGGTCCACCAAGTGAACTCATCGCCTTTTTTAAAGTTCTTGGCTATATCTGTTGCAACACCACGCCATAGATTCTTTCGAACAATAGGTAATTTTTGTACAGCTGTATCAAATAATTTCAGATAGCCAAACCATGGTTTTAATGATGATCGATCTTCTGCACGAAGAGCACGATTCATTACTTGGTATAAACTATTCTTACCCCATTCCATTGTATAGAGAAAAATAGCGGCTGATTCATCTCGAGTAAGTCCATGTTCTGAAGGAAAGTGACATTCATTTTTAGCTATTTTACTAAAACGATCTAGTTGATTGATTTGAGACGAGATTGGTTCGAGAGCTTTCTGTAGAGGCAACAGTTCATGTGCTAAGTATCCATAGACTGAAGTAAGTCGTTTCGGAGTTGATTCTACATCAGTAAAACGATACATTTTTCAAATGCAAATCATTAACCTTGTGTAGTTGCTTTAAAATAAAAACGGAATAGTCAAAGCACGTGCTTTTTATGTTGCTGATAACTAGAAAGATTCGAAAATGAATTGTTTGTTACTTTTATCGCGCTTTTTATCGCTCCAATATCTTTTATTCCCTGCAAGAAAGAGAAACGCTTTCTGTGATGTATGTTGTAGTATATTTACATAGATAGCAAAAGATATAGTTGTTCACAAACGAGATTTTATTTTTCAGTAGAACAGAAAAGAAAAAAAGAATTATGTTGGAAGGAATTTTTCGTTCTCTATCATACTGAGTGACGACCTAGCTTATGAAGGCAAGATTTTTTCAAGATATAAATAATGCAGAGGCCTGAAACATATGCCTCATCGAATATATACAGCTTCCACGAATTTCGATTTAAAAGAAAATTTAACCGAATTGGTTCATTGAATATAAATCAGTAGCATGTTGCAGTGCAACGATTGGAAGTACTACCCAACCGGCCATCCGATAGATATTTCGACGCGTCGATTTTGGCTTCCGTTGGGCATTGAAAGTTCAAATCGACCCCTCGGATTGCCATTTTCCGATGGATCGAGGGCTCAGCAATAGATTGTTTTTACTAGCAGTTTTCAACCACTCGAATGGTCATTTCCGATGGATCGGAATTTGACCGAAAAAAACAATTTTTGTCCGACAGATGTCTCAATTTTGAGTTGTCCAAATTTATCGTATATAAATTTCGAATCGTTGAAACCTATCGAATATATACGGAGAAGTAGATTTGAACATGGATACTTACGATTCACTTTCGTCGAACAGTTGATCTAAATATGAACTATTATTCTCGTGTCAAAACGACCTTTTTAAATCATAGGAAGATAGTACTTTTTATTCTTTTTCATGGTTTGTTACTTTTGATTTTATTTATTGAAAACTGAAAATAATATTTTTTTGTCCAGAGAGAAAATTCTTTTTTAACATGCGAAATAATATTTTTCATCTACAAAAAAAAGATTAGTTTTTGAACAATAAAAATAATATTTTTTATCGAACAAAATTTTGTTATCATGAAAAAAATTTCATCAAGAAAGAAAAACTTTTTATATCTCTATAAGTGATACAAGAACTTCTTTTTAATTTAAGATTTCGTATAAATCACTTATTGAATAAATATGATGTGCAATACGTGATAATCAACCGATTTGTGCTGAGAAGCATGAGGTCAATATTTAGTAATTTTTTTTTAATTCACAACGTGAAAATTCATTATTACTATGTCTTAGCCAAAAACGCAGGCGAATTTTGGTTTTAGTTTCAATCGGTGGACGATAAATTTTAATCAGAAAATCCTGAAATAAAGGTGAATTATGAAGCAAACTTGAATAATTCTACTAAAATTATTGAATAAAAATAAAGAATATTTTAAAACGGGATTTTCAAGAAGTTCTACATGATCAAGATTATAGACTCTTCTGTCAAAACTGTTATTATGATCGGTTTGACTCTTTTGAAGCACTCAAAATGATCCTTTCTATATATTTGTTTTAGTCGAGTGATTGAAATGTGTTAGAGGAGTCAGTAGTATTATTTCGATAGGTGGTTTTTTCTTGGAGTACTCGAAACTTCGATGAGTATCGAGGTGTCGAAATATATACGACGAGTTAAAAATGAGTCGTCAATAGGACACAGTGCCCGAGTGCTCGAAATTCGATGGGTGTCGAGGGGATCGAAATTGAAACAGAACGAACAAAATATATATGTATCAAATTTTCGACCGCTCCTCACACCCGTCGTATGCTTTTATTGGCCTGCTTGAGTAGGTTTCTTGTCCATGTTAAAGCATTATAAGAGTATACTTTTCATTATCTCTTCATATTGTTAAACTTGCACAAAAACTAATTCTCGTTAAACAGTCTCAATAAAGTGGAGATATCTATAACGATGATTTCAATTTATTTTTGTAGCTGATCTTCAACAATTTCAACGAATCGATCAGAATATGACGATACTCAAATTAGTTGTTGCAGACGGCGTGATGAAATTAAGAAATAGTTTGTGGAAATCACATAAATATTGAATATGATACCTTAATATGTTATTAGATCTTTGACTTATGGGATAAAATCATATTATAAGTTAAAAATTAGTTGAATTCGAGTTTTTTTTGTCATTGTCAACTATCCAAAATACTTCTGATTAGAGATGAATTTTTCACGACGTCACAATATCAGATTTATTTCTGTAAAAGAACATACTTTTCAATTGTTGGCATTCAAAGTCATCATTGAAAATATTCTATGTTGTTTTATGAAATCGAACTATATCTTTTAGATGTACAAAAGTTCACTTTTTTTGGCTTTTCTCTATTTATTAATATCAATCTATTTTTTGCATGAAAAATAATGATAATTTTTCAGAAACTGCATACATTAATATTTTTCAGAATTCTATTCCGTTAACGTTGAAAAACAATCATGGACTAGTCATGTTATAATTCCATGAACAATTGCTGTAATAACATACTGATGCAAACTTTAGCAAATAAAAAAAGAATATTGATAAGATAAGGAAAGAGTCTGAATATAATCAACAACAGTTATTTGAAGCTGTTATAAAAAGAACGAAAGAATAAAAGAATATTTTCTTCAAAAAAAGTAAAAATAAAAAAAGTTCATTACCACAACTGCTAATGCTTGATGCATAAACAAAAGAGTTGCTGTATAATGTATATTGTTATAATGATTGGACTACATTTCGAGAAGATTTAATTATTCCATCGATCAATACTTCAATAGACGATCAAGGAAACATTACTTTTACATATAGCAGTTCGTTATGATCATTCAGGTATCATCCGACTACTGCTGTGCTACCAAGAAGGTCGAATAATTTTGAACAATGAAAAAAAAAATTTCCTGAAGAGATGAACTCTGATGGAACAGTTTAGAGAAATAGATCAAATGACTTGATTCATACCGTAATGTTTCTTAAATTTCATATGAAAATTATGAGCGTATGAAACGATGGATCACAAAAATATCATTGAAGAAATTGCTCGAAGAAATTGATTTTTCTGTTGATTCAACACGAACTTGTGTTAAAGATCTACTACTGTATGCTATCGATGAAAATAATCTATCACCACTAGCTATACCTTACACGGCTGTCACCGATTTAGGTACATGATTACATACTGATTTAGCTGAACTAGATTCGTATTTTCGTTATGTCAGCACTCGCGTATATGATCCGGACAATGAATCACCTAAAGATTTTGATCAATATATTTATGTTTCTCTTCTAATCAATCATTCAATTTTTCGATGTTATCAACACACATCGACTACATTTTGTAGTATGACAATCACTTCATAGAATCTGTTTCTAATCCTCGATCAAGTCTTTGTATTGAATCATTAACTAAATTTCCTGAAGAAAACAATGTCTTGATCGTGCCATTTATTACTTTCGAAATAACAACAGTAAGACAAGCGCCACTAAAGAAAGAAAAAATTAAACATATGATAAGACAGATCGAACTAGGCGAATGTAAACCAAATCCAATGTGAAATATATACAATATCTCATGACATTTGTACATCGTTCGTTTGCTTTATTATTCTGATCTTTTATATGAAAAACAAAAAAGACAAAAATCCCGTTATAATCTGATGTTGGAATAAACGGTGTAAGACTTTAGATCATACTTCGTATTAATTATAACATTCGATTTTGACGCTATACATACAGTCCATTGCATTATGAGAAACGCATATTACTGATTTTTCGCTATGTTTAAACAATATAAACTTAATGTACGGCAGTTTCAAGTGCTCATAACTAGATATAGTTTAAATAATTCAGAAAAGTATGTACCTAGCATTGACAAACAGGAGAAATTCGCTGCTCAAGAAAAAAACCAATGTATTACGAATGTAATGTATAATTTTGACCTTCTCATATACGTATATATGACACTATGTTGATAATCATACGTATAGTTGAATAAGTAACAAAGTGGATAAATAAGAGATTCTTAATGAGAAAAAAATGACATCGAAGTGTTAGAAGCTGTAATAAAGCCAAAAGGTGTATTTATATAAAATCAAAGCTAAATTATTTATCAAGAGCATTTCCTAAGCTATTTTCTACCATTTAATAAAATCTCAGAATTCTAACAACCTTAAAGTCTAATCGAAATTTTTATTTTTCATTACAATATCTTGATAAACAGATTATTAATCACTATAAATAAAAGTATTATTGACTTCAATTGAGATTTCTCGCAACAGGAAGAGAACTTGGAACTGCTCAGTTTGATAGATTTCTCTATTGTTCGTCTCGTTGTTCTTTATTGAATTATTTTCTAGTTTTTTTGACAAAACAGTATATTTTTCAAGCAGATGATGACAGAAATGATCAAAAATTTGGCAAAGAAGGAGATGCTAAATAAAAAAAATCATGTCGCTTATGAAAGATCAGATCTCGAACTATCATCTCAATTTCGATTTTTCTGATGAAAATTGACTATTTTTTTTTAAAGGGATCATAAGGATGCATTCCACCTTCCACTTTTTAAGCATTTTTGGTTCTCGACAAGAGGAGAAGCAGTCGGACTCAAATTTTAACTACAGCCATATTATTGAAAATGATGAAATCCTTGTTCGAAAAAAAAAATTTTTTAAAAGTAGATCTTCAGGACCCATTGAACTTACTTACAACTTCGGTGTTACATTTTTGAGTTGGTACTTAGCATTTTTTTTTACATTAAAAATCGAGAGATTGATATTTTTTAGAAAGCTTAAAAATTCCTCTGAGACTTTGCGTCAGGTACCTCCAAAAAAAATTTCAGCCTGATCGAGCATAGTAAGACAAAAGTTGTCTGCAGGTTCGACGGCTTCTGAAGATCTGCTTTTAAAATTTTTTTCTTGAACAAGCATTACATCATTTTTGATCATAAAGCTATGATAAAAATTCGAGCACGACCGATTTATACTCTTGTGGAGAATCAGAAGTGGTTTAAAAAAGAGGAGGGATAGCTATCCTTAAAGTAGATCCATAATTAATATGTTGTTCTTTTTTTTATTTTCTTTTTTTGATGTTCAACAGATATCTATTGGTCATCATTCAATAATCGAAAATCCTTGATCTTCCAGTAACTATCATTATTTATCGTTCGCTCTAGAATTTCTTCACAGTATTCATTCATCGTATATTATCGTTATGCTTTGTTTTTATCTCTTCGAACATCAATACTAATCCTAATTCATTCATTCTCTCCTTTATATATCTTCAATACTATCAAATGAGTATTTTATTTTCCTATGAATTAAGAACAATTTATTATATTTTATCACGAATCATCAATAATTCTTTTATGACATATCCATGTCAATTACCATTGAATTTGTTTTTTGATAATAAGATTTAACTGAAACAATTGAAATAGAGAAATTAGAGAACAATCATGAACTTTAGATTACTATCATGTTATTCTCTATACGTAACTTAAAACGTTTAGATATAATCTGAAAAATAATATGTTAACTATTTCGTAATATTTAAATCTTTGATTATAAAAGAATTCGTTACTTGAAATATAAATATATCATTTGTTAATATATAATCATTTATTTCGTGTTTTTCTAACAAGTAAAAGGATTTCATTATTGATCTCATTATTTAAGTAGCAAACTATTGATTGAACATTACTAAAAGTACACGTAGTCAATGATTACATTTTATATTCTAATTGTCAATGCACGTGCCTATTCTTTAAACATTGCTATCATCAAACCATCTTTTGCCTTGAGTTATATGTCTAGACAAAAAAATAATCGAAAGAAATAAATAAAAAAGAAAACGAAATTGAAGTTGTAAAATGCTATTCATATTTTCCATCAACACATATTAAGATTATTGTTCGATTATCAATCAATTGATTAAAACTAATTTTATTCGAAGCATTTGATAACTAACTTTAAAAAAAAGACGTAATATTCTTTTACTTATTATGTTTTGTTTTTGAAAAGAAATAATTCTCATTTGTACAATTCATATTATTATTTACTCAAGCGTTAATAGTATCAACAAGAACATCAATGATAAAAAATAAAATCATATATAAATGAGTGAAACAGAACGAAAGAATGAAGACTATCTAGTAGAAGAGATCTAGTTCTCTTTCTCTTTTTCATGTAGGATTAATCTATACATTGATGGTGATTTTTTTTTTGTCTATGACATGTTCTTTTTACTTGTCTCATTGTTTTGTTAAACATGCCGCCGTCGTCGCGTCATTTCTCTGTCAAAGTTTGTTTCAAGAAAATATATGTAAGTATTAAATATATTTACCTAAAGATAAAAGTCAATTCATTAATTTTGACCTAATTACAAGTCTCGACAACCTAGAAACAATATCAAATAGAAATCGTTGAACACTTGTCATTACATTTCGTCTATCTTTACAGACAATTCATACACAATAAATTATTATTCTTCGCATCTATAAGACAAAAATATAAAAATTCTTTTCATCTATTATGTTTTATATATCAATATGATGTTTCGACAAATTATTCTAATTAATAATTCGTAATATTTTATAACAGACAGTATTCAAACAAATAAATGACGAATTTCTATATAATATTTCTTTTTGTATTTATCTTTTTTATTCAACAATCAATAACACAAAATCCACCTGTTGTACCTTTGACAAGTAAGTCAAAAAAACAAAATTATATCTTTACGAATATTTTTCTATGTTTCTTTTCTGTTTTTAATAGATGCATTAACAGCTATTTATTGTCATAATTTTCATGAAGCCGGTATAATGACAATACATTGTCGAGCAAATGAAAAAATTCGTATGTTAGATGCATTTGATGTTGTTGTTAAAAATAAATCACGTTTACCATTACAATGTTTGAAACAAAAACATTTTTCAATGGTTTATGGTGATAATTCTAATCATGATGATTGTAAAGTTCATACAAGTTTTACATCAGCTTGTTCAGGACGTGAAAATTGTACATTACATATGCAACCAATACGTTTAAATAGTGCTAATAAAAATTGTCATAATGAATTAGTTGATTATACAATGGCTTTTTTTGAATGTATATCAGGTAGGAAATTTCTTGTATTCATTAGAGCTATTTTGAAGATTTCTTTCCTGGAAAGAGTTATCACTAAAATATTACGACAACACACTCAGCAACGTTTATTCTTTTTTTGGATTCATTAAGAAAGTATAGTTTTTATAGTTTTGACAACAAAAGAACATGACCTACTATTGTCAAGCTGTAACACAATCTTCGAGAGTACTACCATTATGATATAGTAGTATTCGAAATGTGATAAAAGATAATAAGACCTCTTTTTTTTCACAAAAAAAAAATGCTTGATTTCGGCTGATGACTACCATTTATTTTCGCCATTATTCAAAGCACATGACACATCTACCAATGTAGAATGAATAAAAGGCTTAAAAACAAATTTTGAATAAATAAGTTCAATCGTTTTGTGTTCAAGAAATGTTCTGCTCAGTCTTGGCCAAGCGTGGTTTTTTTAGCTGGATAGGCCATATTATTGAATAATTGTTCGACTATTGATCTTTTTGACTAATGAAAAAGAATTATAATAGTAGCAGAAATTATAAGAATAATTTATCTTTGAATTTTTTTCTACAATACCAAGTATTTCACTTAAATCCAATCAGTGGTTTGAACAAGCAGTAAAATTCTCTATCAAATGAGTTCCTTAGTAAAATTTCATAGACGGACTACGAGAGCAAGGTTTCAAAAAAAAACTAAAATTTGTAATATTCAGATCCCTATCTTAAAGAGCATAGAATTCTGAATAACATGAAGAATTAAAATGGAGACCTGAAGTATACCGTTTTCAGTTTGTTTTAGAAACCTTACTTTCGTAGTCTACCTATGAAATGCATTTCATAGAGAATTTTATTGTCTATTGAAATTACTATTTGGATTTAAGTTATATACTTAGTATAGTAGGAAATAATCAAACATACGTTGTTCTTGTAATTTTGGCCACTATTTACTATATTTAAGTTGATTTTTTTTCATATAGATGTATTTATTCATGATGTATGTTCATCACAAACAATAACTTCTTCTTGGGGTACATTAAAAACACCGAATTTTCCAAATCCTTATACACCAAATGATGATTGTTGGTGTAAATTATCAACACAATTACAATATCGTCTATTACTTTCTGTTATTATTTTTCAATTGATTCCTTACGATCGTTCGTATTTAATTGAATATAAAATTAAAAATATTCGTATTAATTTTATTTTTATCTCTCTAGAACAATGTATTGGTGCTGGACTTTATTTACAAAGTAGTGATGAACAACGAAGTACTCAATGTACTTATTTACAACAAGGACATAATTATTTAAGTGATACTAATTCATTATATCTCAATTTTTATAGTCGAACACCAACTGTACGTGGAGGATTTTGGGTTATTTATGAAGGTTAACATTTTTTTCTCCATTAAATTTATTTCTCTTAATAAAGAATAAGGTTTTTTTTGGTTTATTTTCATTACAGCAAGTCATCCAAATGCTGAAGTTCATTTACATTGTGGACCAAGAGAAAAAATTGGTGTTCCATCAGGAACACCATTATTACCAACATCTATTGAACCACCACCAATTTCATCATCATATGATTATGGTTGGAGTCGTTTAGCATTTAATAATCCACCAAATCCAACAACACCAATCACTGATCCGATGATGTATATGCATTTATTATTTACTACACCTCTGCCATATCGTAATACAAATTTTAGTAAGTATTGTGCTCTAATCCGAAATGAAGATAAACATATATATTATGTAGTCTCATTTCGATTTATGTTATCTAATAATTTTTCGAATGTAAAATAATAATAAAAATTTTTCTAAATGATTTATTATTTTTCTTAGAAGTAAATCCAATATTAACAACAACACCAGTTGGTGCATTTACATATCCATATGGTCATTTAACAACATTTGAATTAGCTTATGGACCACAAGGATGGTTTCTTAGATCTCCATTTATTTCATCAAATAAGACAACAGCAACTAAATTTTTACCAACAACAACATCTCAATTACCAATAGTGAAATGGAATTCTACTTGGCGTTATATTCGACGATCATGGACAAGAATATCCACAACGATGACAACAAGAAGTCCTACTATTAAAACGACAACTGCTACTACATCACAAACAACAACATCAAGTATATATTTTAGATTAAAACTAATTTAATAAAATAATATTTATAATAAATATTTAATTTCTAGAATCGACCACCAGAATGACACGTTTAAGTACTTCTACAATTAAAACTACTGAACAAAATACTATTCTTTTGTCATCAACAACAATGTCTATGCCTACAGTTAGAAATACTACTATTCAACCACGTTTATTATTTACTCACAATCCATGGATATATTATAGTTCTAATAGTGTTGTATCTTCAACAACAACAACAAAACCAAAGACCACATCAACAATGCAATTACCAGTATCATCGTTTATGTTAAAACCTAATTTACCTTCACCAACTCCTTGGTATCCACCAGCTGGTCCATTTGATTGGTGGCAATGGCAATGGTATACAACAAAATTTAAAAAAGTATCGTTAAAAAGTCTTACTACAACTGAAACGCCAACATCTTCTATGCAAACTACAACAACAACAACAACAACAACAACAACAACAACAATAACAACAACAATAACAACAACAACAACAACTGCTACTACTACTAGAAAAAGTACCATTAATCCAAATACTACAATAAATAGAAAAACTATCACTCGTAGGCATGAAGTAACTGCTGATTGGTTTAAATGGCCATATACTGAATCTACTTCACCATTGGTACAAAGACGACCTGATTATTATGAAGAAGAATATATGGAATGGCCTGATTATTTTCTTACGAGTAAAATACAAAATGCAAGAACACCGAACTCCCTTGTATCTTTTTCACCTGAACAACCACGACAACAATATCAACAAATCAGTCTTTTTCCAATAAAATCAAAATGGCAATATGATAATCGTCTTGTAACCACTAATACACCGTCATCGAAAGGTCAATATACACAACAAAATACAGGCAGAATTGAAGAAAGAGACACGCCAAGAATTCAACAAAATGGTAAGATTTAATTTTTGAATTATCAAACAATGAGTGAATAATAAAAAAGATAGACTTTGTTTTGAGTATATTGTAACATTTAAAGCAAAACTCAATGCATGAAATTGCTTGCAAATCCAAAGATTAATAATAGTATGAACACTATTACTAATCAGAGAAATTGCCCAACTATCCAATTGCTTTTAAGTCGGAACTATCCACATCATGTAGATTTTAATGAGCTATGAATCCTTTTCAAGATATTCATATCTAATTAAGATCTATATGATATAGGTAGTCTCGACTCAACAACGATTGGATAGTTTTGGAAACTTTATTCGTAAATCTTAATTTCGAAGAATATAGTTCAATTCGAATTTAGGAGTAACTAATACTTATGCTCACAACATCATTCGAGATGTTATTGAACAATCAAAGAAAAAAACTTCTGAAGAAAACGAATGGTTAAGTAAAACAGGTATATCAAACAACATGGAAAAAATGAGTTTTCTTTGTTATTGTTTTCTTTTTGTGTATGATAATATTTATACTTAGATATAACGATTGTTGCTGTATCAATGTTATTTGTTATTTTATTATTTATTATAAATTTGATTCTATATGCAGTTCGAAGGTGAGCATGACAGAACTAATTAGTTTAATTAAAAAGAATATTCATTAAAAAATATTTTTTCTAGACATCATCATCGATTACAACATCGACATTTACTTAGTGCATCAACTCCATCATTATTAAATGGTAGTAGAAGAACTGGTATAAATGGTAGTCTACAACGTACCCAATTAGGTGATTCAACAAGTAGTATAGTTAATACGACTAATAATAATAATAATAGTAGTGATATTTTACCAGCTGTTGGTAAACGTATTAGTTTAAAATAAAAATTCAAAAAATAATAACTATTATTACTATAATTTAGGTGAAATAGTTATATGGGATGAAAAAGATCAAGGTGGTTATATGATTGGTAATCATGGTGAATGGGCAAAAATTCAAGGACGTCAATGGTTTCGTAGTAACTTATTAAAAAGTTGTAGCAAATCATCATTTTCAAAAAGGTTAATATCTTAAATGATTTTATTTGCTTTGATTATCTTTTATTAAAAAACAAAATGTGAAGATTTCTTTGAATAAAATATGTAAATCTTATACATAACGTTTTTTTTATGAATAGTTTTCGATCACGTTTTCAATTTTCTCGTCAATCGAATAAAAAAATTAATGATCGTCATCAACCAACATCAATTCCAAATCCAAAACAACAGCAACAACAACAACAACAAATATTTAAATATCCTCTTCTTTTAGACAGTTAGTATTTATTTTTGAAAAAAAGAAAAAAGAGCATTAAATCATCTAATTTAATATTTTATTTTTAGCTGCTACACTTGCACCTGTACCTGAAGCTGATGATTATCAATCATCTCCATTAAGTTCATCAGATGTTATGATGCGAAGTTCAGCAGCAACGCATACGAGTTCTAATAGAATATCTGAACAAGTAAATTCAATTCATATTGATTAAATTTCGTTTTTTTTTTAATTTTATTTTTCAAATTCTTAGACAACAAAAACAATTCAAGCATTAATACATGCAGAACAAGATCACAGTGATGAATACTATAAACGAATTGATTTTGGTACTGATGAATCAAATTATTCAATAACGAATGGACATGTTCAAGGAGAATATTCTATACTTGATCAACAAACTGATCGAAGTTTAGGAAATGAAGTTGATGCTGGAAGATCAATCATTATTAGTGTACCAACAATGTTCAGACGAGAAGAAGATACTACTACAATAACAGATGGTGCTGATTCTAGTTATAATCAAACTTCTTCAAGTAAACATCTTATGAAAGTAAGATACCAGCAATTTGAAACTTGAACAATATGTTTTCTTTTTCATGGATGGATAGAACTTATCGAGTTACCTGTTAAAATATTGTTATTAACATATTCGAACATCTTTTTTGTTTTCTTGATAGCAAAATTTAGGAAAATCAAGTTGACAAAAAGTATAGAAAAACTGAAATATGTCAAATACATCAAGCATATGATTAAGAAAAAAAATTACGCATGAATTTTGTAAAAATATTGTTTCATTGTTGAGGAAATTGATTTTTTTCTATACGATAGCAAAACATCATAAATATGGATTCATATTCTAAATCGACACAAAAATTTGCATTGAATAGTATACTCAAAACTAATTTTCGATCTTAGGAAAACCACAGGTCAGATTATTCGAGAATAACACTGACAGAATCTAAGTTTCGACATTTGACAAAACCTTAGTTTAAGTATTGAGTATATTATTCTATAAAGATTTTTCCGTTAATTCTGAATACGAATTCATATTGATGACATTTTGTTTCTGATATTGAAAAAATTAATTTTCTCAACAATGAAACAATATTTTATAAGGCACTTGTGACGTATTTCAGTTTTTATAGGCTTTTTTTAACTTAATTTTTGTTAGTTTTTTCTACAAAGAGGTTGTTCGAATATGTTAACAACAACATTTTTGCATATGTAACTCAACGAGCTTGATACAATCATGTGGAGAAAAAAAACATTAAAAATATATCGAGACAAGAAAAAAAAAATTTATTAATCGTTTTCTTTTTCTTTAAGAATACAAATATAACTACACGACCAAATTATCTTCAACCAAATAATACAAGTCAAATGGCTACTAAACAATCAGCTAGATTATGTAAATCTTCTACAAATAATTCAATAATTGTTGGTCATTGTCAAACAGATTTTCAACCACTTGATCCAAAATTATTAGTTAAATCAACAGATAAATCATTATTAGCTGAACATCAACAATTTTATAATTGTTCACAATCTTTTCAATTATCAGCATATGATTCAGGATTTTTCGATGATCAAATAAGTGAAAGTTTAACAATACCAACAACAAAAACATCTATGATAACTAATGAATTAAAAAATAATTTAGGCAAGAATGTAAAAAAAGAACGTAAAAATATCGATGATATGTTAATCAATATAAATGAATCTAATGAGGAGAGTGTATTATCATTGAATGATTTATCAACAAAAGATATACAAAAATTAAATCGACAAAAACAACGACATGTTACTAAACATGTTTCATTTCAGAGCTAAACATTCATTTTTGTTTTTTTTTTATTTGTCTAACAATTAATCTTATAAAAAAAACTAACTTTTAAAATATACTTTGAATATAATATGTAAAATAAACGATTTAAATTCAATAGTTCTCTACAACAGAAAGAGAAAATATGTTCAACTTTTCATAAGTTTACATCGAATAGATATTCTTTGAAGAATAATATTTAAAAATTTCCTGTCTTAATATGAAGAATGGTAATAAGTTTGACATAATTCAATACTTCTCCACAAGTTTATTTACTTTTAATTATTTTAAATTTAACCTAGATCCAAGAAAACAGTTCCGTTTTACATAAGTCCATAAAGCTGGAATGATGTATAATGACGAAATATGATGAAACTTAAGATAGTACTACGTCGTTCTTTAGTCGTTTTACGACGATCCGAATATAATCGTCTTAGAAACGGATGTTTCATCTTTGAAAATGAACTATCATTCAAATTATAAATAATAAAAATTAAATAAATTTCTGAAAGAGTACTGAATTACCTAGAGTGAACAATACGCCTGTCGTGCACAAAGGTAAATAACAAAAATACGACAATTCTATTTTTGTATTGTTTTTTGACGCATTGTTATTGTTTACGAGCAGCATTTCCATCGTAAATGACGCTATACAGTTGTATTTCAAAGACTCGTATATCATTTCATATTTTTGGACTTGAGTATATCAAACGTATGATTTAAAATCTCGAATAGTTGGCATCATTGATTAAATTTAGTAGAATATGTAGAGACGAACATTTTTATTCTCAAATATTTTTTAATAGCAAACATTTGCAATTCAATAGTGTAAATATTTGTTGTTTGAAAAAAAATATTAATCTTTCGTTATTCTTATCTGTTAATATACATAAATCTAAACTATCGTTTGTTAAATCTACTATTATTCACAATTGAAAATCTACGAAAAATATTTTTTTTTCTATTTCAAACAAAAGTACATCCATTAGTAGGCTTCATCACCTTGATTCAAGGTAGAATTCAATTTTTGCTTTTAAAAAAATTTTTTCTTCCTATTGAACTGATCATTCAATATATTTGTTTTCTTTTTGTGCATTTTCAATGTCAAAACTTTTATTGTAGATTCTTTAAAATAAATAGACAAGATTTCTGATCCATTGCATACTTGAATATGATATAAGTCGAATGTCAATAGCTTTAAAAAACCAGTATCAATAGACTTCTACTCAATCTTTTGCCCTAGATATATTTAAATAAATACTTTTTCGTTTCTAATTAATTTATTTCTCTTTAAAAAACACACCATACTTCTATATATATATAGTAATGCTAATACAGTCAAGCACACGACCAAGCAAAACGTCCTGATGATATTGGACCATTTTTTATCGTATTGTGTAGTTCTCTATCAAGGATTGATTGTTTTACACCTATTTTAAGTCGATGTTCACATAGATAAAGAAGAGTATTTGATGGTCCCCATACAGGTTGTCCAATAAAAAAATCATGCATTTTTAATGTAGCCAATAATGAAAGAAGTGTTCGATCATCAAATCCATCCGATCCATCAATTTGAACATGTATTTGACAAAGAGATACAGTTATTTCTTCGTCATTATTTTCACCGGCATCTCATAAAATTTATAAAAGAAAAAAAAAGAAGACTTAATAATTTTCTTCTACTATCAAAAATATTCACTTGTTAAATCAATTTATTATGGATTAAAAAGGTCACAATATTCTTTTTCATATAGGATTAAAAATCTCTTAGATGATTTCTTCTATACAGTATAAAAATAGTACACTTTTGTCAATATCAGGTAAAATATTATTATCATTTTTTTTCTTCCCGTAATATTCATCCAGATGACTTACAATAAAAATTCTCTCGTCTAAAAATATAATTAATGCAAAGAACAAACGTCAATTCTACTAGAAAGATTCGGAAAAAAAACAACTTCAGAACATATAATACTTACTGTCTGTTAATGAATATAAAACGAGTAGAATTAATACTATAATACTGACGATTATCGTTTTGTATGGTAATTGTCGTCTATTAATTGCCTCCATCCGATTTTTTTGTGCAAATGCAAAATCGAATGAGAGTAAAACTAGGTTTTTTTTTGCTTTTATTAACGAATAGCCGGCTTTGTTGTAATAAGATGTATGTTTTCGTTGTTATTTGTTGAGAAGACGGAGAACTTCACGAACGTTGCTTCTCTTATACAAAAATAATAATGTATTGCATAAACAATTTCTTTTTTGGTGGTCGCTCCGTTTTTTCTCTTTCATTTTTCTTTTTCTATATAATGCTCTTTACTTGCTGCTCGATTTTATAGCATAAATTAATCTTTAAATCACATGCTATCACACACACACACACTTAATAACGTTTATGGCTCATCGATTATCTGTTTTCTTTTCATCAAAATGTACTATGTTAAATACATCGCTTGGAAATTTTGTGCGACTATCGTATCGTAATATAATTTGAATATCGAAGATGCATTATTAATAAAGATTTTATATTGTAGAGAAATTATTTGATTATTACTACTCTAATTAATACTTGTAGTTCCATTTACAACTTAAAAGTATAATGAAAGAATAAAGATTAAATTTAATATGTTTCGAATGAAAATAGAAAAGAATGATCAATTTCAATGCCGAAACAATAGAGATTGTATAGTCGTCAATATTTTCAATGTCTAAGTTTTCGTTTAACCAGTTTCCCTTTCAAAGATCCAGACAGGTCTACATTTTGTAGGTATGTCTGGTGCAACACTTGTGCTTTTATTTTCATTCTAATATTATGATAATAATTTAGTAGAAATTTGCTTTTTGTACGAAAGCAAGGAAGTCATGTATATTAAAATGACATTACTATGCAAAACATCTACTTATTAATTTGATATATTAGGTAAATGTCGAGAAAAGACAAAAACGAAAATATTCACATTAAGAAAAAAACTCTGCTTTTCCAGTCAGAACTTTTACAATGCATTTAATAAACTTGTTGAAAACGACTATTATTTGGACGACTCAAGCTATCTCATGAATGAAGCTTATTATACTATAATAGGCTTGAAGAAAAGTAACTGAACTTATTCGAATTAACATTTTGATTGAATGTTTAAATGAGTACAAAATGGACAATTTCCTCCAAAGGAAAGAACAGTAGACAATAGTTCTGTTTCACTCATGTTTATTCTTACTCAAGTTCGTATCCTTCATAGAAGACTTTTAAGGGAAGAGAAAGGGTGGCACCTTGAACAAAGAGATTATTTGGTTTTATAGAGCCTATTTTGACTTATCATACAACACTAATAGATGAGGTTATGCGGTATCCGAGCGTTGAATAGTTTTGAGACATTCTCATCCGATTATTTTTTGGTGATTTTGAAGATCTTCTCGAGCATCTAATATCAGGGAGAAATTCATACGTATGGTCCGTGCGACTGGCTTTGGCAGTATTCATGTACTGTCTAAAACAACCGGGTGTCATAATAATCCTTTTAGGGTCCTAGAAATTTTGACTGGAACTTTAAATGATTCAGAAAATGGTACCCAAATCTAGAATCCTAAATGGATTATTATGACACTTTTTTTCTAGAGAGTACAAGATGCAGCTAGACCTTAGCAACAGTGTTCTATCTGGATAATAAGCAGACTCTCTCTTATGTGCAGGCCACGCGAAAGTGGAGGCGATGTACACTTCCCAATAATTAAAAATTATTCATTCGTAGCTAACAAAATCGATAAATTTTTTGCGAATTTTTGCTAGAAAATTCTGAAGGAATGCTTAAATTTTTCGTGTCGTGAAAACGTGACTACACGAGCATACTCGGCCTAAAAATATCTGTGATTTTTTTATTTTTAATGCAATTTTACTCCGATCTTGTTTTTAAAGGGCTTCATTTTCCAACAGTTGTCACTGGCGCGTGATCGCCTTCAGTGGCGAAATATCTAAGAGCTCTTGCAACGCTTTTTCCTTTTGAACAATATAAGGAAAAAACGAGTTTTTCATGAATCTGAAAAATGTCTTTGCTTTGCAAAAAATAACAATTGTTTAATCGCAGTTAACTTAGACAAATTTTCTACTTTAGTCAAATTTTCCTTTGAAACAGCTTGATATAGAACAATTTTTGCCAGAGTGGCCACTTTTCATAACGACAGTATTGAAAAATTTTCTCACATTGGACTCGAGTTCTCGTCTCAAAAATTCGCCAGAAAAAGTCGAATTTTTTAAGAAGATTGCAAAAAATTGTCGCTTCGGAGAAAATTGGTACATTTTAGGTGAGCAGAGAAAGATGTTGCAGTTGAATTTGGAATCCAGTTGAGATTGGAATCATTTAGTTCACTTTGTTTGTTTAAAAATTTTCCTAACACATATTCAAGAAAACTTATTTCTTTCTTATCAAATTTATACTTACTATTACTTCTCGAACAATAAAAAGTATTTTCGTATTGTTATTTTGTTGATGAAAAGTTATTAATCATTCTATTTATTGTTTCTTTTTGTAAAAGTAAATCTTACTCATCATTGTTCTTATAGTATAGTTTCTATATCAGTGTTTGGGACATGGCGACATTAAACGATTGATTGAAATGAAATCGAGAATATTTGAGCCATTTGTTTCTATAGAACAGATTTTTTTCGAGCAGCGGGACATGAGGACATTGAATCATTGGTTGAAATGAAATCAAGAATATTTGAGCTATTGGTTTCTATAGAATAGATTTTATTTCGAGCAGCGGGGCATGGGAATATTGAATCATTGGTTGAAATGAAATCGAGAATATTTAAGCTATTTGTTTCTATAGAATAGATTTTGTTTCGAACAGCGGGAGATAGGAATATTGAATAATTGGTTGAAACGAAATCGAGAGTATTTGAGCCATTTGTTTCTATAGAATGGATTTTGTTTCGAGCAGCGGGATCTGAGAACATTGAATCATTGCTTGAAACGAAATCGAGAATATCGGAGCTATTTGTTTTTATAAAATAGGTTTTTTCCGATGCTTGTGATATGGGGAGATCGAATGATTGGTAAAATGTTTAGTGTTAGTAAATTCGTTGTTAAAAACTTGAAATTGAATTATTTATACTATTTAGAATAGCAGCCGATCTGTTTTTCGATTGATTGAATAATAGTTGGACTATAAATGAATTATTGACTATCTATTCGATAGACTTATTGTGAGAAAGTTTATCAATGTAAGATTGTAGTTTAGAATTAGGAATGCTCATTTTTTTGTAAGAGATTCACATGAAAAACAAAATATATAATTTATGTAATTAAAAACAAACAGGCATGAATACGTTTCTTGATTGGATGTTCCATAGCGGCAAAGATCAATCGATTAGTTATAAGAAGGTGAATAAAATTCATAAAACTCTAATAGTCATTAAATAAGAATGGTTAATAATGAAAATTTTCTATATGTAAATTTTTTGAAATAATTCAAAATAAAATCATAGAAGCTCGACCAATCATTTAGAATCCCTAAAATTACAAAAGTTGAATACAATAGTAAACAAACATTAATTATTGTGTGACTCATACTATTAACATGCATTCCAAACTCAACTGAATTCCCATGTCAACTGTGACATACATTTTAGGTCAGAAGAGAAAGATTAACATCAGATCTGATGCGAAAAAAGTTTTTGTGTCCCTCAATCTTGACTGCCTTGGAGTCTCTTCACATCACCCAATCTTGGGACTCTCGTGCGGGGCCTGTTGGTACTTCTTGAATATGACGGATATTCCATTTCATTCATTGTCTATTGAATTAATCTGAAAGAATATTTCCATACTTTTATCGACTAAATGATGAACTAATATTTATTACCAATGATTTTACTTCTAGAAATTAGTAAGAAAAACTTAAAAGGGATACAATAAAACTTGATTTAAAATTGTTCTCTGAAATATTATCATTATTTATGGCACATTTATTACTTGTTTTCCATTGTCTAACTCATTCCTTAGTTTCATAGCATCAATGTTTTCGTTGATAAAATAATTAAAAAATATCTTTATTTTTGATAGTATAACAAAAACAAGCGTTAAAATAAGATTAGTTTTCCGAATAATAATCAGTTTAGTTTGGTATTACTCGAGTAGCAATATAGAAGGTACATTTTCTTAGCAAAGCAACCATTATTAGAACAAGTACACCTGCTTTAATCAAGATTGTATGAATAAAAGATCTAATACATGGTAGGACTCTTTCTTCATTTATTGGTTGTATTAATACTAGATATGAAAGTTATTATCTTAATGTATAAAAGAACAGAATATAAACACTTTGTTGTTGATTCAACGTCAAAATAAAATGATTTTTGAATTATTGATAACGTATGTTGCATATTACGAAGTTCGTTGAATAGCACTGAATTGAGTTCGTTTAGCTTATATAAATGAAGAAATGATGATATACTCAATAAGATAAACACAAGAATTAAATCATTTCTATTCATCATTTATCTTTTGTTATCAACTTTTTTCCATTGATCTAAGATTTTCAAATATGAAATTCTTATTTTTATAAATACAATCTAGCACTTACCATGATAAATTTTCTCAATAAATAGAGCAAGAAGAATAATTGTTAATATCGATGTGATAACTAGAGCAAATGATGAGAATCCAATGACTTGTTTCTCTAATAAATTTTCGTCAATTATATTATTTAAAATCAATGAGATAAAGTCAATCGAGTTCAATGATTTACTAGTTTCATAAATCACAATCATTTTTGTTGCGCCAAATTTATTTTATTAATTCAAGAAAATTTTTTTTGAAGGTTTATATTTCAACAAAAGAAATAATTTTTAGCCTAGGTTCAAACTATATATTTCACCACTATAGAAAAGCATTAAAGTCGTGATGATAGAATGATCGAAGATGCTTCACACCTTACCACGCCACTCCACTTTTTCAAGGTACTATCGATTTTCTTTTCTTTCTTTCTGAATATATGCATCAAAAGTTTGAATCATGTGATGCTATAATTATGTCGAGAACAGAAACAGATAAAATACCCATTCACAAATAACAAAA